GGTCTACGGGCTGCCTTGGCTTGGCGATATACTGGTCTACGGGCTGCCTTGGCTTGATAAACCGGCGATAAAATGGTCTACGGGCGATAAAATGGTCTTTGCTCCCGGGGAAAGCAAAGTCTTCGAGCCAGGGAGAGCCAAAAACAGCGAATCGCCTTGTTCTTCTAGGAGGGGGGGTCCGCGACTTGCTTTGCTCTTCTAGGGTCCGCTTTGCGGGAAGCAAATCGCTTTGCCCTCGCTGGGGGAGTCTGCCCTTGTCTCTCTTAGATACAGCGCTTTGCGGGAAGCGAATCGCGTTGTTTCGCCGGGAGGGGTCCGCCCTGGCCCCTTCTGAATATAATTGTCTACAAGAAATCACTTCATTTTGAGGCAGCCTTTGCCGCGAGAGGCGAGCCGCTGGCTTGTGTCCGGAATCGCGCGAGCCCGTCCTCGGCAAAGATAGGCCATCTTCAGCGGCGCAGCTCCTGACATCGATGAGCGGGAAAGGCAAGCGCAGGCAAGCTCGCGGGCCGCCGGGACCGGAGCGCAAGGGCACGCTTTGACCGCGCGCGTCAAGCCAATTGGCTGCGGCTCAAGGCCCGCAAGCAAATCGCTCAAACCTTCGCCCGTGGCGCTCTTCCTGCTTCCCGCGCGGCCTTCCCCGCCCACCTCGAGCCAATTTTTGCCCCGGCGGCTCCAACCGCGCGTCACGCGCGCTTTGCGCCGCTTGCCCCCGGCCTGCACTTCGGGCAAAGCCTTTGGCGCTTGTCGCCTCCTTGCCCGCCCGGCTCGCGCCACACGCCGCCGCATTTGCGGCACGTGCTCTTGCCCTTAGCCCAAGAGCCGCGCGAAGCGCAGTTCAAACATCGCCGGCGGCTAGCCGACGACGGGTCGCCGTCGTGCTCCGCGGCGCCGGCTCCCGGGAAGAACAGGTCGCAAGCCCGGCAAGTGCACCAGCCGGCGCGGCCCCTATTGGGCCGCCTCTTCACGTGGGCCACGCAATCTGCGCAGACCGCCGCCCAAGGCATTGTTGCTGCGACACTCTCGAATTCGGAGAGCGGCTTTGCGGCCAGGCAAACGGAACGCGTCAGCTCGCCAACCTCTTTCAAGCACTTCAGACAACGGCGCTTGGCTTCGGAGTCGTCCTGCTGCAACTGAGCGCGCGGGAAGGCGTACTCCAGCTTCCGGAACTTGCAGCCGCGGCAGTCCAGGCGCGCCAGACCAGACGGCAGCTTCCGCTTCAGCGTCTTCTGGCCGTCCTTGCTGGGGGCGCAGGCAAGGCAAATGGCCGAGCGGTTGGACCTGACGCGCTCCCACTGCCGATCGGAGAAGTAGTCCAGTGTCTTGGCCTCTTTGCATTTCTCGCACGCCGCGGAGGGCGCCTTCGCCTCCCGGAATGCGTCCCAGTCCACTTCCTCGCCCCGCAGCTGCTTCAGCAGGAGCGCCGGGCCTTTCGGCGCGCCGCGGGTGTAGAGCCAGCGCTCAAAGGGCCTACCGGGACAGCCCCTTGCCCAATCTCTTCCCCCTGCTGCGTCCGCGCGATCTTGAGCACCGGCTTCTTGCGCTTGGCGTCCAGCTTCCAGACCTTGCGGACGGGGTAGACCGGGTAGAGGCCCGGCTCCGGCGCCCCGTCGAGCTGCCAGGTCGCCCCGTCAAACTTCACATAGACGCAAGTCGGCCGCAGGTCGTTCTCCTCCCAGACCCAGGAGTGGACGCGCCCGGCGCTACCTCGGAGGAGGAGCTTGTCCTCGGAGCGATCGAGGTGGTCGGCCAAGACCACGCGCATCCCGACCGCCAAGGGCAGCATGCCGGAGAGGTTCTCGGTGTCCCGGTCGTGATACTGGAGCCACCGGATCCGCGCGGCCTTGTCACACTCCTGCTCGGGCCGACGAAAGGCGGCTCGCCCCCCCCGCCCCCACCCCCTGCAGCCCCGCGATCTTTCCCGACCCACCCTTGAGCCTGCGTTTGCAAGACCTCGGCGGAGGGGGCGTCCAGAGCCACGGACCAGCGGAGCGGCGACCCGGCCGCGCGGCTGTAGTCTTCCGCGCGGTCCTTGTTGATCTGGTACTTGGCGTCGTTGTTGGCAACGACGGCCGCCGCCCACCTGAACTTCTCTTCGCTCAAGCGCGGGTCGCCGGGCCCGTCGACGACCCGGCGCCGGGACCTGCCGCGGTCAGTCGACAGCCTTCGACGGGCTTGCCGTGGAGGTAGCGCCAGTTCTGCTCCGACAGCTCGCCGCGCCGCAGCTCGTCCACGACCTTGTTCCACCAGGCGTCCTTGCAGCGCTCGCGCTCCTCCAGTTCCATCACACCCTGCAGGGCGCCGCCCCACACTAGGTCTCTGCCGTAGTCCGCCAGGAGGTCCGGCTCGGCGTCAGCGGCCGCGCTCAGCCGCGGCGGCCGCCGGCTGCTGGGCACGTCCGCGAGGTAGCCGCCGCTCGGCGGCGGCAGCTGGTAGAAGTCGCCGAGCAGCAGCACGTTGACGCCCGCGAAGGCCCGCGAATCCCCGGCCGCGTTGCGCTTCCACTGGCTGGCCGACGGGACGACCGCCCGCAACCGCTGCTCGACCTGTCGATCGCGCAAACAGAAGGGCGGGGCGCAAGCGAGACCGGCCTCCCCCCCCGCACGCCTGCGCCAGCAGCCGCGCGTTGACCATGCTGACCTCGTCGACGACGAGCCATCTCCAGTAGCTCATTCTCTTCGCCGCCTCCTGGCCCACGGCGCGGTCCAGCGCGGCCGCGTCCAAAGGCCGCAGGCGTTGTGGAGGGTCCGGCCGCGAATGTCGGCCGCGTTGACGGCCTGGAACGCCGCAACCTGCGGGGCGGCGACCCCAGCAGGGCAAGAGAGCCGACCGCAATTTCGCCCGCGCGCCTCGAAGTCGATCCCCTGCGCGTAGCCAAGCTGCTCCTCGAACAACTCCCGCAGGAACTTCAGGACGTGGGACTTCCCAGTGCCCGGCGGGCCGTGCAGCAGCCAGGCCAGCGGCTCGGCTCGCCGCAGAGCGATCTTGTGGTCCGGCGGCACCAGCTCCAGCTGGACCAGAACCCTTTCCACCACCACCCGCAGCATCTCCCATTGCTTGGAGTTCAGACCGCTCCGGACGCGCTCGCTGCCCAGCCAGTCCAACAGCGCGTCTGCGGTCACGGGCGGGCCGAGCGGCTGCGCCTCGGGATCCCGCCCGGCTTGGCCGACGCCCGCAAAGGACGGAAGTCTGCTCTTGCTCCGCGAGCGCGGGCGCCCAGGCGAGCGCGTTGGTCAAGCTGCTCGTTTTGCGCTGCGCGCCTTGGCCGGGCGAGGCGTCGGCCCCGCTCTTCCTCCACGCGGCCCGGGACAAGTCGAACATCTGCTTGGTCATGACGCACAGCCGCGTCGCCGCGGCCGCGTCCTCCTGCTCACTGTCTTGTTCGTCAAAGTTCTCGGAGCCCAGCTTGCCCGCGCCGCGGACGTGCGTGGCCCGAGCCGCCTCCAAGTCCGCCTTGTCGAAGCGCACGCCCTCGTCCTGGACCTCGTTGTCGCTGTTCTCTTGCAAGTGCTGTTCCGGCCGGAGTTCCCGTGGCAGGCAGTAGACGAAGCAAAAGTTCAGCGCGAACTGCTTGACCTCTTCGGTCGGGAAGCCTTGGAGAATCAGCCGCCGTCGGAGGGCGCGGCGCCAGTCTGACTTGCCGAACTTGCAGAGGTCGGCGAGGAAGGGCGCGGCGGCCGAGGCGTCGTCGGGGTGGCTCGTCCAAGGGCAGAAGAGCAGGAGCACCCACTTCGCGTAGTCCTCCTCCGAGCGACCGCCAAGCGCGCCCTGGACAACCGGGACGTGGGGCCTCGCAAGGGAACCGCGGCCGCCCGTGCCGTCTCCCCCCTCCCTGCCCTCCCTGTGAATTCTCTCGCAGCCCCCGCGCCGCGAGCGCGCGCCTCCTCCTCCCCCCCGCCCCCTCGCCTGCCCCGGCGCGCAAGGATCCAATCGTGTCTGAACTGCTGGGCGAGCGCTCCATGCCCTAGCGGCAGCCAGTCTTCCCCGCCTTCCTCGTGGATCTCGTAGTCCGCCCCGGGCAGCAAGACGGCCTTGCTTGGATGGTCGCCGGTGTTGCTATGTATATAGCAGAATTGAGACACTTACGCAAGTGCTGCAACGAGGATACATGTGGGTTATAACACCGACAACACAAGGTACTATGTTGCGCATGTCCGCCAATCTAAATCATGGATATACTATGTTGGCCAGCCTACATACATTTCATTAGCATGTAACCCATGTTATATATGGCACATACGCGCGTAGATAGCTATTACTTATACATTCTCACTGTGTAGATTAGAGCACATATCTAAGTATTCCGGGAGACTTAGCTAAGTCCGCCGGGGCACTTAGCTAAGTCTGCCAAATCCTACATAGCTAAGTCCCCCTAAAAGGTTTATGTTGCGAACAACCGCGCAAGAACAGCAGTGATTTTGTGCAGTGATATGTGAGCGTTTCTTATAGAGGATGTTGTTTTTCAGAAGGGTGTATCTCATATTAATATTGTAGCAAGATGCGGCGATGCCACCGCCAACCAATTTTGTGATAGTTGACAACATGATCAGCGTGTCAAAGCGGCGCAAACATGTTTGGGCGTCCCTTGCAACTTTGGGGAAATCTGATTTTGAGACACAGTGATTGTGTTTTTTTGTAAACCACCCCTGCCTTGAGATTGAAAATTGAAATTCCCTTGCACGGTTTTCCCATGTTCCACCATGTTGCTTGTGTTTACAAGATGGATGCAAGCATGTATGTTTGGACTTGTTCACAATGCTTTTTCTGCCGGGGATCATTGTGTGTACTTTCCAGCCACTTCCATGTCATGTTGTTTTTTTGACCTCGTCTAATGTTTGCATATAACAATATATATGAAACACTACATATATATATATATATATGTCTATGAGCTATGTTGCGCCCAAACCAGGACCCATGTTCGTTTCGAATGCCCCATGCCCCACCTCGTTGGATTCTCGGTGTTTTGCCATTGTTCCGACCAAGTTCAAAATTGCAAATTAGACTACGTGTGTTATATTATTTAATGGGAGTCTATAAAGGGACCGTTTGTTTTGATGTTTGCATTTGGAAACAACATATATGTGTACAAAATAGTTTGGTTTTAGGGAGAAGGCCCTCCCGCGCCACCCCTTCGGCCACGCACGCCCTCCGGCGCTGCTGCGGCGCCGCTGCCTGCCAAAGCAGGCGAGATCGGCTCGATCGGCTCGGCAGGTTGAGGTCCCATTCTCTTCACCCATTGTTTTTTTTGAGAAACGCATTTTTTTCAGGGGGTTGGCCAGTTGGTTGAAGCAAAGGATCCAAGAAGAGAAAGGGGATCGTAATAGAATATCACATGGGGAAGTTTCTTGTTTGCCCATCAACTTCCCTGCCAAAATATTTCTGAAACCCTCAGCTTTCGAAAAGGTGTCCCCGCCAAAAACAGGGCCTTGCAATTAATGTAATGGGGCGTCGTTTGAGCCAGGTTTGGAATTAACATTCCTTTCATTTTAAGAATCAAGGCACCCCTGATCATTGAATTTGATTTCCAAGACCAATGCTAAATGAAGAGCCCAATTTGGAACCGATACTGAAATCACGATTTACCCCAACAACTTTTCTTGGGAAAATGAGATGCATGGACGCCCCAAAGCTGGCGGTGCATGGCCCCCTCATGAATAAATTATTGTTCTTGGCGTTGCTTAAGTAGGGGGTGGAGTTCATGGAGGCCGCGTTTGATTGTTATTGGGTGAAGGGACTAACATTTACTTGTATGTTGACGAAAAGGCTTTTTACTGGTCTTCAAAACGGCTTGGAGGGAAGAGAGAAAGAAACAGCGAGAAACAGCGAGAAAGAGAGAGAAAGAGAGAGAAAGAGAGATTGAGAGAGGAGAGGGGTTAGCATGTTGGGTGGGGGGGGGAGGGGGGAGGGAGGGCGGAGCGCGGACAAATGCATGTTTAAACCACGACAGGAGGGCATGACATTTGGCAGGGCACAAGTTGCTCGCCGGCCGGGCATTTTTGCTCGCCATTGGATGATGTAGAGGTAGCTGGGCCAGCCTAAGACCAATCCATAGACGAATCTCTGCCATGGAGCAGCACGTGTTGGAGGACAAGGAACCCACCACCAATGCGATCGCAAAACGGTGCAATATCATTGCGGTCATGAAGGGCAAGCCGTCTTACTTGGCTTACAAGATGCAGCCCGTTGATGGGCCTCCGACACCAAGACCGGAGATTGGGTCAAAGCGCTTCTTCGAGGCCCAAATGTTTCGCTGGAAGGAGGGCATCAGAACCACCGACCTGCTTAGTGATAGTGCTGTATAGAAACAAATTTGGCGCAAGACGCCTGGATTTGAAGCTGCGTGCTTCGAGGGATGCAAAAACGGGTTTCCTTGCAAGCGCCATCTTTTGATATAGGGAAACCGTTGGCGTGTAGCGCCTGCCTGTGGCATCAGTTGGGAAGGAGCATGTCAGGTGACACAAACATGTCTTCACGCAGTTTTGCGTTGGCTGAAGTAGGAGCAACCAATCAACTGCGCCATGTCTCTGGCGCCTGAGGTTTGTGAGGCAATTGAGGCCTTGGTTGGGAAGGCTGAGAAGGGGTCCTTGGTGACCTCGGCGGCACGCCTGGTTGCTCTGCTGGAGGAGCACAAGCTTGCGTACCAGCAGAGGATCCAGAGCCGGCACGTAGTGTGCCATCCTCGCAACAGAGATGGCTATGGTTGCTCCGGCAACGATGTGCATTCCTTGTTGCACGGAATCCTGGCGGTGGGGTGGAACGACGCGTGCGTGAAGCCGCTGTGCGTTGAGAGCTCTGGAGACGCCGAGGTCGAGCGTTACAACCTTAAGATGGTGGAGGACGCGGGTGGGCTGCTGGCCCCGGTGGAGGTGGGAGGATGCCGGTACGCGACGCTCAGCGCGTCGCACACGAATCAGGTCCTGCGATTGATCAGCTACGGCTGGCATCACGAGCACATCGAGGACGGTGAGTGCCCCGACGTGACGGTCGGTGGCCGGATCTCGGGTGAACAGTTGGGCAAGGTGGACCCGCTGTTCTACAAGGCGGCGCAGGAAGGCATCGTGTGGACCGTGATCTCGAGCTTGGTCCTGACGCAGTATCCCATCCTCGCGAACATCCTTCAAGAGGCCGGGAACACGTCCGGGCAACTGCAAAGAAAAGAGCACGAACTGCAACTGGCACGGCGGCTTCACCATGAGTGCCTCAACCTGAAGGCCACGATGCCGCCCGGCAGTGGTGTGAGCTACTCGGACGGACGTGAGGGGTCGGGTGACGCGCAGCAGGCCAGGCTGCAGCGCTGCGCTCCCCCATATTTTCTCCTTTTTGATGAAGTTCAGTGGGGGGGCAGAGGCTGCAGCGTTGCTTGAGACAGAGCGATGCGTTAAGCTCTGCGGGGGGTCGTCCCAGAGGGATTTGGGGGCGTCCTTCTGGGACAGCTTGGGCCGGGACTTGAAGGGCGGCGCCCCGGTCCTGCGACTTCGGCACGCTATGCTCCGGCTTGCCCTCGTTGGGCCGGACCAGGTGATCAACACAGGCGACGTGAAGAAGATGAGCTCCGTTGCCTTCAAGGAGACGGCGTTGCGCTGCGACGACCTGATGATCGACATGCGGGCCTACTACGAGGCGAGGCTCGCGGACGAGGAGCAGAGCAAGCTTCAGAAGCTCCTCTTCGAGTTCGAGATGGAGCTGGTGGCCATTGCCTTTGACAAGAGGCACTGCAGCTGCTGGAAAAACGCAGCCAGTTTCGAACAGGCTGCGCAAGCCTTCGTGGACAGCGTGTTCCAGCACGTGAATGTCCGCATCACGGACAAGTGGGAGCGCCACCGGCCCAAGACAGAGGAGCCAGCTGCCTCTTCTGGCAGCCGCGATGGCGTGGCGAACCTTTGTTTGCAAGAACAACCGTGTTTTCAGATGCACCTATTGTAAAACGGCCTTCTTCCATATAGATTTCCAAACTGTTGAACCCTTACGTCACAAATCAGCCCCCAGGATGCGGAGTTATGACTTGGCAGGGCGCCTGCAGTCACCTGCAGACCTGGTCAAGGAGGCAGGCTTTGCTGAGGGCCAGCACATTGTGAGAAAGGCGGACAAGACCTACGCCCAAGTGGTTGGCTTTGAGAAAGGCCACGTGATCCTGGGCGTGGACGGCGTGCTCTGCAAGGTGGAAGCGGGATCTTTCATCAACGGCGAGTGGAGCAAGTACACCCCCAAGGCCGACCCTGTGGAGATCGATCACTGCGAGCACAACGCGGCCTCCCACAATGAGTTCAAGGTGCAGCTTGTAAAGTCCAGCATCTTCTGCGCGATGGACGGGGTCCACAAAGAGCACGAGGCAGTGCTCAAGGGCGTCAAGGTCATGGTCAAGCCTTGCAAGAGCGTGGTGGCCGTGGCGCATTTCAAGAAGAAGCAGCTGGTGCTTGTGCCGGTCACTTGCAAGATCGACGCCAAAGCGCTGGGGGCGTCGCAAGGGGTGTCTCTTGGAGAACTGCTTCCGGGGCAGGAGTTTAGCTTGCTGCCGTGGGTGGCCCTTCCTCGGGATGATGCTCGCGGCGCAGTTTGTCCCTTCTTCATGGTGCAGCTAACGCTGCAGCAAGATGACGCCAACATGGAGATGGCGACGCAGGTGAACAACGGCGTGGCGGTGCCGGTGATGCGGAATTCTATAGCGATTTGCGCAGGCGACGAGCTGCGCTTGTACCGCGCCAAGACGGAGCCTGTTCGTGAACTGGCCCCCATCCACAAGATTGATGAGCCAGCCCCAAAGCCCTCGAAGCGGGCTAGGACTAAGCGTTCTGCGTGATTTGGCACCGGGTTTGCTCCAACCGCATTCAAACAAGAACCTGTTCAATTATGGGAAGCCCTCATTTAAATCTCATCAGGCTATACCTTATTGAATGATGCGGTCTACTGGCTGAGAATCCCGGCGCGCAACGCGCAGTTGTTTTTATCTATGAGGCGCGCGTGTACGTCTTACACCCTTGTGTCTGAAAGTGGAAAACTGCATGCAGATCGTGGCCAGTTCATCACACCCAAGCCAAATTCAGTTTGAGAGGCTCAGGCTGGAGTCTTTGAGCAGTGCATGAGTCTGATGACAAAGCCATTTGGATCCAGTTGCGTTGTTGAGTAGGACCGAGAGTCAGTTAGGCCGGGCACAAGTGCTCGCCGGCAGGGCTACAAAGCTCGCCATTCGGGTCATGTCGACCAACACAAAGGTCGAGACTGTTTTCATAGTGACCAACGATCTTAATTCCAAGTCACCATGGTCACCAGCCGTCCAGTGCGTGAATAACATCAACTACATCAAACTGGGTCGATGGGGCCGACACTTCACCAGGTTTGTCACGGGCCGTGTGCTAGACTTGAGGCGTGGCCGCAGCCACCACATCTCATGCTCCTTTCTCGATGACTTACAAGAACAGATCCACAACACCTCCGCAGAGGTCATCAAAGACATCTTGAGCGGGGACACTCAGGATGGCAGCGATGTCAACGACCCCAAGGAGGGCAAGGGTGGGAAGCCTAAGCGCAAACGAGCAGCCAGGCCTGGAGACAAACATCTTGCGCCCAGCTTCATCACTGTCACCCTCCATGCAGTGGAGCACATGGGGGAGTGCTTCCCTGAGCGATCGGTCAAAGCTTTGTGGAGTGTGAAAGGCCCAGACATGTGGCTTGAATTAGATGCTGCAGTGCTGGAACATGTACGCCTAGCAATTTTGGCTTCTCAAGCAGCTGGCGAAGCCAGCAGGAACAAGAGGGCAAAGAAGGATGATCCTGCTTCCAAAGAGGAAGCGCAAGGGGAAGACGATCTCTAAGGATCGCACGCACGTCTGTCGTGCACAGGGGATGGCTGCATCTGACAGCACTAATGCTAAGCGGGCGGTTCACGGAGCATGAAAATGCAGGAACATCTTGGAGAGCGCTTGCGTGAGGTTGTCTTCAAATGTAAACATGTTTGTTGCACACTACTCCTTTTTTACTTTTTGGTCAGTTGGAGGTTCTTTTCAGGGTCGTATTTTGCAAATGGCCAACCTGTTGAGTGAGCTGCGGAGAGAGCTGTGTTGGGAGGCAGGTCAGGCGATACACGGTTGGGCATGCACACAGGTCGGAGGCTATGGTTACCGTTGGCAGGATGCGTGGAGGCGTGGAGGCTATTGGGCCGTTCTTTGGATGAGAGCATTCAGTCATGTGCATGTGTGTGTGTTTCAAGCCCTGTTTTGCGGAGATGGCATGCGAAATGACAGCATGAGCGGCATGAGCGGCATGAGCAGCATGAGCAGCATGAGCGGCACTGGACACTTGGAGCATGAGCATGCAGCACTATGCGGCAGTAGGGGACACTTGCAGCACGAGCGGCGCTGGACAGCAGCATGAGCGGCACTCACTTGCAGCATGAGCGGCACTGGACTGTAGCATGAGCACGATGCACTCAGGCACGCAAGCGACATCTTAAGCACGCACGCACGCCACCACCTCCTTTTTTTCGGAATCGAGCCGCAATGGAAGCCGGCATGGCCATGACGAAGAAGCGCGGCGAGGAGCAGTCGCCGGCGCGGAAGCAGGCTCGATCTGAACAAGACGATCATGGACATTGGCAAGAAGCTGAGTGGCGCGCGGATGAGCAGGGACAAGGTCTATGGCCCGATGATGGAGAAGGTCTTTGGCCCGATGGTGAAGAGTGGTGGGAGGATTGGTACGGCACGAAGGAGGAGACCGAGGGCGAGCCGGAGATACCGGATGGCATGGCAAAGCCAGTTGGGCCCGCGGATGAGGCTGAACGCGAACAGGACAACGAGCCCAACATGGCGGACAAGAGCTACATCGTGCCTGCAGAGAAGGACGACGAGAGCTATGGCAAGGGCTGGCGCTCCTGGGGCTCATGGAGCTACAACAAGGAGACGGGGCAGGGCTCCAGCCAGGTGCAGGCCAAGGGCAAGAAGGGCCAGAAAGGCCATGGCAAAGGCAGTTGGTCGAGAAACCCGTGTTTCAATATATTTGTGTGTGTGATGGATGTTCGATATGTTTCAACAGTTCGTCAACAGCTATAATCCGGGAAGCAGCAAAGCCGCAACATCTTTATACATCTTTAAGGGGTTGCAACGCAGAACAAAATGAAACGAACTGTTAACCGTTTTAACAAACTCATGACAATAGCTCATCAGAGTTTCAAGAAATGGGAGATGTGGTTTTCAATCCGTTTTGTCAACGAGTGGGCTTGGTCCAATTTGCTTCGCAGGGCAGCATGTCAAGCAGGAGGGCTGGCGCGACTGGTCTGCTCATGACTGGAGTGGCCGGTGGGGCGGATGGCAGGAGACACTTGCCAGGGCATGGTGCCAGTTTTGAAATGCACTGGTCGGTTTCCCCCACAATCCATTTGGCAAAGTGCCAGCAACATGAAAGGCTTCCGGGTTGCGCCAACTGTTGTCATTTGACCATCTTTGACCAGTCTGTATGGTTTGGCGAGCATCCTGTGCCCTGCCGGTTGTGCGCTGGTTTGTTTGTTTGGCGAGCATCGCGTGCCCTGCCGGCGAGCATCCTGTGCCCTGCACGACCGAACGACCGACGCGATGGCCGAACGACGGCCGAACGACCGACGCGATGGCCGAACGACGGCCGAACGACCGACGCGACTGCCGAACGACGACCGAACGACCGACGCCCGAACGGCCGAACGGCCGACGACCGAACGACCGACCGACGACTGTGTTTGGCGAGCATCCTGTGCCCTGCCTGTTCTGTTTGGCGAGCATCCTGTGCCCTGCCTGTTCTGTTTGGCGAGCATCGCGTGCCCGGCCTTGTTTGATCTGTCTCTGCAGGATTCGGTGTCACTGGCAACCATGTTTCTGGGTGATGGCATGCTGAGAACCATGCCGTGTGTATAGTATGATCAAATGAACACATTGGTATTATGTGCCACATGTTACATGATGTTAGTCGGAAACATGTGATGCGATGCGGAAACGTGGTTTGCCGTGAAATTCCCACAGGTGTCAACCGAGACTTGTTGAGCCATGCTTAGTATGAGGCAACATAGGCAACATTTACCGTGAAACTCCTACAAGTCTCAGCCCCTTACATGTTGACCCATATATGGATGCTGCCGAACCCTCGCATCTCAGGAAGCACCGAGCCCAAGCACGGAAGCGAGGTGGAGCACAGGTGCATGCCGCGCGCCAGATGATCGCCCAGCAGGAGACCACCAACAAGGCGGTGGACGCGCTCCACAAGATGGCCGAAGCTGTGAACACGGCTTTGAACCGCCGCTGATGTACAGGCCCAGCCACCGTGGTGGGTGAACGGCATGAGGGTTACATGGCCAGTGTTGGAAGTGGGACCCCTGCACGCAGAAGGTTTCATGACACACCTGATGTCAGCCATGAACCTGGTGCGGTGGCGCGTTTACCGGTTTTGCGCCTTAAGGCGGAGGCTTAGCAGGGGCGAATCATGGCTGGCTGGAGAAGCATTGGTCCAAACATCTGGCTTCACGGACATGGAGGGCCCTCGCCCACTGGACAACAGAGTTTTATCAATCAATACAACTTTGGGAGGGGCAACCCAGAAAGTTTATCAATCAATAAAGGTTTGCGGTCTGCACCTTGATTCGCCTCATGTCACGCCCAAGAAGTTTGTCAATCAATAAGATTTGGGATGCGCGACCCCGGAAAGTTTATCAATCAATAAAACTTTGGTTTGGTCCCCTACAGAAAGTGTATCAATCAATAAAACATGGATTTGGCACTCTGGGGGATGGTGTGTCAGGCGACATCGACGCACGAGCATGTTTCGGGACTGATTCCGGAGGTTTTGAGGCTTGCATGGAGCTCACAAAACGGCACACACCCTGATGTTTAAGCTGGTCACCTCCGGAAACCACACCAGAACATGCCTCTGACATGGTAGAAACCGGAATCGGTGTGCGCGCGAGCCCTCGATCGACCATCTCACACGGATGAAAACACATCGCTGACACCGACGGCATTGGGAGGTTGCTGGGACGGGGTTTCTGGACTAAGTATGCGCTTTGTTTGAGTGCCACTCTCAACCTTCTTGGTCAACCAGGGATATGATTGTAAGAACGGATATTGTGCTTTAGAGGAGAGCCATTAATTTTTGAACTTGTGCTGGAGAGGAAATCAGTTCATTGTTTGTTGAAACCAACCCCAATACAGATATCCCTCGCTGGTTGGGCAACCCTTGGAAATATGAACGGAGTTAATCTTGGCAAACTCACACAACAGAACTATTCCAGCTTGCGTTGTAACTTCAACATTGGGGTGTCATGTTTTCTTGCGAGGCCAACTGCCGCTTGCGTCGAGAGGTTTGGGGGGGGGGAGCGCACAACTTCTTTGTTGGGGGCGATGTCCACTTGACACAGCATTGGCTGGTCCTCGAGTGGGCTAGGGTACATGGGCAGCTAGGCAATTCGACTTTCAAAGCCAGTGCAGCACAACACAACTCCATTCCGGTTTGATGTCACCAAGAACTCCGATACTGGAACCCCAACCACCAACCAGTATAGGTCCTGAAATGTCTCATTGGTTGCTCCTTAACCCAGGCTATAGCATTTGCGCCAAGGGAAACATCACAAAACGGGCATGCGAGGTTTGGGGGCTGGAAGCAAACATGGAGATCCATATCGATCGATGAATAATTACAACACATGTTGTGGATTTCCTAGCAATGCGCCCGTCTCACCTGCCAGTTTCTAGCCAGAACTGAACATTAAGCCCAACAGCCCATCACTGTCCTGGTAAACCCTTTGACGTGTTTTGTGATCTCATAAATGTGCATACAGTGGTTTTC